TATTTATTATTAGTGTTTTTAAATTATCTAAAATTTTTTTTATGTAATTTTTTAGATTAATTATAATTTTTTATAAATATAAATTTTTTTATATTTATAAAAAAATGTTCAAGAAAATCTGGAGAGGAAAATATTCAAAGTATTTTAAAATATTTAGTGTAATCTTAATATTATTAACATGTTATCTATTGATATTGGATAAGATAGTGTATAGTATAATTTATAACATTGCAATAATACCATCTTTTAGTGACTCTGAATCAAATTATTCAAATTTTCCAAATTCTATTCAGAGGAAAAAATATCAAAATTGTAAAATTTTATCTAGTGATAATCACAATGTCATTGTAGTTAAAAATAATGACAAAGAATCAGCAATAGCCTTTTACCATGGAAATGCAATGACTAATTTGGATAATTTATGTTGTTGGTTATTTTTTTAAATGAATTTAAATTAAATGGTGTTTTTATAGAATGTCCGGATAAAAATGGAATTAAAAATAAGTACACTGAGAAAAATTTAAATGTTACTATTGAAAAATCAATAGAGGCAATTGAGAAAGAACATCTTAAGATTGAATATTCTGTTGGGTATAGTTTAGGAACTTACCCGGCAATTAAAACGGGTATAAAAGAGGAGGTGAAGAAAATTTTTTTAATTGCACCATTTACTACTTTAGAAGAGATTATTTTAGAAAAAATCAAAAAGTTTTTTTATTTTGAGAGGAAAGCAGTTAAAAGAGTTTGTAAGAAACATTTTAATTTTAATAATCTCTCATCACTTAGATATTATAAAAATGATCTTTATTTATATCATGGATTTAATGATAATATTATTCCTTTTTCTAATTCAGAAACAATTAAAGAAACTCTTAAGAATAAAGGAAATACACGTGTTAATTTAATTAAACAAGAAACTAATCATAATGACATATTGGGTAAAAAACTATTTGAAAAAATTTTAAAATTATGTAATGAAAATGAATAATCAATAGTAAATTTAATAATATTAAGAAATAAATTATTCTTTATTAAAATTTTGTTGGTTGAATATTAAAAACCCTTTTTACTAAACCTTTAAATGTAGTTTTGTATGATTATAATTGTTATTTGTGTTTGCAGTTTAATAATAATGAACTATCTTTATTGTGAAGATAAAATTTTTGCTGATGATTATTATTATTGTTGTAACACAATAAGTTAACAGTATATTTTATGGAAAATTATGAAATTTATAATCAGTTTTATATATAAAAATTTAAGATTTTGAAAAATATTTATTTATTACTTTTTTTAACTTATGAAAGATATGAGTAATAAGATAAAGACTATATTATTAAATATCGACGACGATGAGATAAAATATCTATATCAAGATGATTATGAGATCTAAAAAAGAGCTTTTACATGAATAAACAGTTTCCACGTTCTATGTTAGTTTCGGTAATCATAATGAATGTTTTTTCTTAAACGTCTTTTAAAGAAAGTAGGTTAATTACTATTAAATTAATATTTTATTACGATTATTTATTTTATGAGATTAACCATTTGGTGCAACACGTTTTACTTAATGGTATTTATATATTTTAATATATCTTTGAAAGTATAAATAAATATAAAATATTTTTCTTAAACATTGAAGAGAAAAAATAGAACAAGAGGTTTTAAAAATTCACTAAAGCTTATCGTAAGTGTGGCTTTTTCATCCTCACTTGCTATATTCTTTTTGGAAAATTTTTCCATATTTAATTTATTTATTAAAATGTTTTTAAACAAAATATGTAATACTTTCATATTTAATTATTATTGACAGATAATTTATCAATCACAAATATACCATCCAATACTTATATTGTACAACTCATGTTTATACACAGGAAGATTTTATGTCTGCACGTTGTTAAGTATCGATTCTGTTTCTTTTTAATTTCACCAAGGAAAAAAATCCATCATAAAGGCATTGGTATTTAATTGGTATTTAAAACTAATACTCAATAAAACACTCTTTTACTAACTATTATTCACGTAGATGTATAGCACTATCATAGTCTTGGTTCAAGGTGAACTGTTTAAAAGGAATTTTAAACTTTTTCACTAAAATTCTAGTCCTACGTGGATATACATTAGTTAGGAACATTACTACTTCTAATACTATATTAGCCAAATTAATGCCCTCAGTAATCATTGAACTTAGCTCACTTCACTGTGAGTATATTTACTATTCCTCACCTAGAAGTACATAACTACTAGAGACTTCAAAACGGGCGTTGTATATAGTTTGCAAAGGTTGATGACCTTACTAATATAACAGACTCAAAATTACACCCCGACTTTGCAATGTAATAAAAGATGTTTGATCGTTTCTAAATTTTTTTCCATGCAAACTGGGTAAATCTAAGCTAATTTCATACTTGTATCTTTAAGGTAGGTAAGCTTTTTTGCAAATGGAAAGATCCTATAATTCTCATCCTACCTATCTCTAGTAGATACCTAGCGAAGTATGGGGCTACAACTTGAAGTCGCAGCCACTCAGGGGTTTGATTCTCAAGCAGGTATTGTCTTTTTGCCCATTCTGTTGCTACTGTTTTATCAGCTTTTTCAAAACGAGTGTCAAAGATGTCGACTAGCTTGCGTTTCTTCACCTCGTAGTCCCGCTCCGTGCCAAGGAACCGTTTTACCCAACACAAACCGGTTGTTAGCCAGGTTTGTTTTCTGCCCTTCGCTGGATGACTTATAAGTGTGGCAATCCAAGTCTTCAACCCAGCAAATTTATCTAAAGCTCTAAGTCTTTTCCCTGCTGCGAGTTCGGAAACCTTCTTTAG